ACTAAAGTACAAATCTACTCATGTGCTAGTTTTATGGTATTCCGTATGGTGATTTTGTCTTGCTTCGGTTTGTAAGACTACGAGGAGGACTTTTTTCCCACTGGCTCATTAGTCCTGGTTGTTTCTCCGGAAGAAGTCGGTCTTGCCCATCTTCGAGGTACTGGTTGTGTTTAGACTTCATTAGGTGAAAAATTGCCTCTGCAGTCCACCACACACAAACACACATGAATTGGTGCATGCCTTAAAAGTACGGAGTGAGGTTGCTGGTGGACCGTTTGAAGACCGCCAGCGGTAGATTTGTGGAAAATAAACGAGAAAATAGACGAAATGTAACTATTAGTTGGGTGAGTTTTTTGTGGTCTGTTTTTTTATTTCACGTAATCAAATAAGCGCATGAGGCATCACTTGTCATTCAATCCTTCTGCCCTATTTTGGTTAATCTGTTGGCTAAAATGAGGCAAAAGTTTTTTCCTCCCTTGAGGATTCTGAGGTAGAACCACTTCAATACCTTCTGATTAAAGGAAATTAAATCAGAATTTATGAAGCATCAGCATTGCGGAATTTGGTTCAACAAACAGAGTGGAAATTGGTGTCTTACAGAAGTTGGATTGTCAATCAAACTGGTCTCCGTGGAAGAAAAAAGGTGACCCAAGAACAGAAAATTAAATACTGGGAATGCTAAGTAAACAGGCTGTTAAATAAAATTTTGGACGTCGAGCCCTCCCCGAAGCCGCGATAAGGCATACCGATATGGAAGGATGTTTGGTTATTAGTGCACAAGGAGAGCTGAAGGCTGCACCACAAAACACAATTATTAGATCACCAAATGACCTCCTTCTTCTCTCAAGCGTCGTCACCGAAGCTCCCTGTGGTCGCTCCTCTGCTTCTACAGGAAATACACACTCCAGCAAACAGCAATCATTCACAAGAAGGCATAGGAGACGAAGACGATGACGGTAGTTTGAGAGCGCTACTTATTTGTATGCTGCGTCCTATGCGAGGCGAACTGCATCGAAAAGTATCCATTTGGGCGATGGTGCTCAAGTCTGACCATTTTCTACGATGAGCGATTTCCGTTCATCAGGTGCTCCTCGTGGTTGTATTTGCCTCAAAACCACCTGGAGATGGAGAATTCGAGGTTTGTGGATTATGGGAAGTCGAGTCATAGTGCGGCTTTTCCCAAGGTCAAATGTGATTAGTTGGAACCTGATTTCACTGGACCAGCGACATTTGTGTGGAGGTGGAAAGTCAAAGTTTGGCAACATCAGACTCGATATCAGTCTACCCCATCTTCATTAAATCTCCTCAGATTTTAAGCATCCACACTAGACTGCATTGGTCCATGACGTGGCGAGTTGGGAAATAGCTACTTCAGTGGAACTTGCTCTGCACTAACATAGCAATCGCTCACCACTGTCACCAATGTGGCGCCACAAGTGTTCCCTGAGTGGGTAGAAATGCACACCGATTCTGGCCGAAGAAGAGACAACACCTGGGGGTGAAGAGGGGTGGGAGGTTGCTATACGCCCCGATGGAATTCCATTTTTCAGGATGAAATCACATGCACATACACAACTTTCAGCATACGATGATAAAATAATCAAAGATTGCCATGTTTGGTTGTTTCTCAAGACGGCCTATTATGTTTCCTGATGTAAGTTTAATTTAACAGTGATAAAAAAAGAATAGAGGATTTCACCCCCTCCCCCTCTCTCCTCGTCTCTTGATACTTGAGCTGCAAATTCTCCTACCCAATCAGCTGTGAAAACGATTTCTTTCTCTTGCTTTCAGTGCCAAGTGTTTACGACTTTTATCCATCAGTTCGTTTTTACCGCGTTCACTTAGCACAAAGTATTCATCTATCAGAAGAATTCAAAGTTGCCAATTTAATGTAGTACCTTGTGTCATCTCTCGTAAGACATCATGAAGCCTCATTTTAAGCGTACAGAAGATATGAGAGCTCACACGTACGGAAGAGGCACCTTGACACCAAGGTGGCGTTCGAACCCCGGAGAATGAACAGTTTGTAATACTAAAACATGTCGTTAGGCTGCGTAATTTCCCTTTTTGTTGGGCAACATCTTAAGTGATTTCTGAGTTCAATTCTTTTCAGACTGTCAGGAGTCCTCCTGTGCATCGTAATTAAACACAAGACGAGACTTAGGCTAGATCTACATCATGGAGAGAACGCTACTGATTGCATTGGTGGTAGTACACGCTGTCACTCTTGTTGGGATCTCTCAATAGAGGATTCACTGCAAGGTGGGCTACAACAAGGAGGGGTTCATCTGGAAAGTATTCTGAAGGCTCTGAAATTTGTCCTCCATAAGTTGGGTGTCAATTACTTCGAGCAAAACTACCTCTCTTTGAGGAAGGGTGTACAAAGTCCAAGATTTCCTGTCTAATTCTAACCTTCTGAGGCCACTGATTTATTCACAAACCAAGGTGTTCTCAAGGCACCGCATTAACGCCTTTTCGCTAAGCCCGTACGGGTGTTTTGACCCTAGCTACCTCATTTACGCCACAACACTCACATACACGTACTCTCTTTCTCAGGTCACTTTGTGCCCTCATGCATTAATCATAGCCTCACCGGGGTCACATGACCCTCCCCCCCCATCCATCCCCCAGTGCGCCCGCAGTCACAATGACTCATTGGCGAGGTCAGCAGCGGTGTCCTTGGGAGGCCATTTCATGCCGTAGACCGAAATGCGGCTACCGCCCGTATAACATGCCCTCACCACCAGGTGGGCTTAGGGTAGGTGAAATCACTCCAAGTCAGCCGAATCATTTAGAGCCCCCGGTAAGAAGGAGCGGTGGTGATTAAGTTAGACCTCTATGTCATCTCCCCTGATCACGTTAACGGTGCTTGGTTTCAATGACCTCGCTACAAGTCATGCCGATAAGTCCGGATCCCTATGGTAATATTTTATTTAAGCGGTTGCCTGTGTTTGATGTCTCTGGATTTTCGCCCATAGCAATGTAGAATTGGCTCTCGACTTGGCTCTGGGCCTCCACTGTGTTAAACTAATCGGGTTTAAATAAATAATCCTTTATTCAGCAAACAAGTCTTGTTCGATTTCGCCTTTGCGATTTTTTTATTCTTTTTTTTTCATGACATTGCACAAGTATATAAATTTACACAAAGAAAAGTATCACTTGTCATTTTTCCCATCACCCAGGAGCAGAGCTGTGGGAGATAAGTTTAAGAGAGGTGAAAGCATCACGCTGATTCCATCATGTGACTTATTTTTTGTTAGTGTCCGGACTGACTTTAAAAACTTACCTTTGGACAGTTGTACTGCAGTTGAGCAACAGTGACATCTTGACTAGATTACCTGACAGTTCTTTCTTCAAGAAATGGAAAGATGAGGCCTTATGGTAGTGGATTAAAAGGAGGAAAAGAAGACGTCAGTCCTTAGTTATAAAGACTAGGGTAATTAATGCATATTTTTTAATTCTACAGTGTCTGCATGATCTCCATTTCTCGACTTCCACACTATTCAAGTTAAACGGAAACATCAGCCCCTGGTGGTCCTCCCTTAAATACTTTAATGGTATTTGGTTTTCCACTGTCGCAAAACCATCCATGGGACAGACGAATCTGAGTCTTCATCTTTGACGTCCTCCATAGTCACTTCACTTCATGCGTCAAAAGGCAGTTGGGAGCTTCAAAGATCTTTCACCAGAATTGATGCGAAGGTGGTGCCTTACGACAAATTCTTTTACCTCCTAAGAATTCGTACCTCTTTTCACCTCAGGGGTGGATGATACGTCAGTTCCCATGCGTTAAAGAAGTGGCCTAGTAGTAAAACCACCCAATCCAAAAATCTTAAGGGAGATGGTATCACAGAAATAGATTCCCCACCTTAACTGGTCGCTTATCTGGGTTATTTCGAGGCATCTGTAACCGAGGGTGGGACCTAACCTCCAGGTGACACCCAGGTAAGGATTGCATCCAGGCCCTATACTGATATTGTCAACGCATTTGACGCTAGTTTCGTTTTGCTATCGGTCACTGTGCGGAACTCAAGAACTTTGATAACGCTTCTGTTGGAGGAGGTCACAGATTCAGCCTTCGAAAATAGACACCTCTCCTCCTATGAAGTCTTAACTAGGTATCCAGCCAGCCGACTCGGGATTTTTGGTCTCCTGAGGAGGGCTTAGCTCTCTGCCGCATCCATTTAAACACTCCCTTTATCCCTGAAGGTATCATAAAGCATACGTGTCTGAAAACACCTTTTTATTGGTGTAGCGGTGAACTTGGAGACCAATGGCTCAGCTCCATGCCACTAACCTGCTTGACGAATTGTGGGGGACTCGAAAAGCTTGTCCATTTAGAGTATCATTCAAAAAAACACCGTTTCGTGGGCAGCGAATGGCATATGCTGATGTCGAGCACTACATGGTGATGAATTGGTCAGATTCTATTCAATGAGACCACTCAAAAGACATCCTCTCGGCTGACAGTTACGATCACATCAGTAGCCTTTCCAGCTCCACAGCCCTCGCTCGCATGAAACGCCACCGGGTGGGGCGCCTAATTTTATATATCCTACGAATGGGGGAAGAAGAGTCTTTCGGTGGACACGCTGAAGAGAGTCATTTGCAAGCGTTTACAATTTCGTTGGATACCTAAGTTGCTCTGAAATGGTTCAGGCGTACTAAAAAATTCTCATTGTCTAGGTTGGAACAGAGTTATAAGAACAGTAGAGGATTGTGTGGAAAAGAAAACGCAGTTCCCACTCTTTCGGGTCTATCGCCTTCCGGAATGTCGCCTACTTATTAATTCTTCAAATTGTTTACTAAATAAGCTGAACTCTTTCATGAAATAAGGATACAGAAAAAGGGAATAACCCAACTAGATGACTTGGGTGGAATTGAAATGGCAACGAATAATTGGAAGGTAAACCGAGCCCCAGTAAATGTTTATCGAAGAAGCAGTTAGCATATATTCACAACAACAGAACTTTTCCAAGCCCCTATTTTGACACGGGTGGCTACAGTGGTGGCAAATCCGAACCAAGCTTAGGCGTCTCAGAAGGAAGCCTTCCGTGGTAGATGGCTGAATGTGCAGAGATTCACCTCAGAGGGGTCGACCAAAACTACACCGTTTATGAGCTTCCATATTTGCCTTACGGGGGTAGTCAGACGAGACCGGACTCGAAGGAGTTAGCAGCATCCTTTAAATAAAAGTTTACGCCGTTCCTATGACCGCAACGATTTATGGTCTTATCTAATGGCATAAAAACTTCTTCCACTCTAGCCCAGTTTTTCTACGAAACTTCCAAGGTAACTCAAATTTCCCTAGACTAAGAAGTTTAGCCTGTAGCAGTCAGTTCCATTCTCTTTCAAAAAATTATTATCCATGTGGGAGGGATAACCCCCTGGAGCTAGGAGGAAGAAAACGGAGGCTTTGAAGCCGATGAGGGTGCCTTTAACTGTGTATAGAAGTAAGGGAGTCTTTTACAGCCTTCCCATAGGCAAACATGGAGCTCCAGATCACCAGTCTCCCACGTTTTAGGGCAATGTCATGCTCTGCACAAGGTTTTTGTTCGATGAAATTATCCCGGCACCCTATACCTCTTGCCTCTATTATGACCGCACTCACTGGCGCCTAAGGGAAGATTTAGGCTGTGGATATCCAATTCTGCAAAAATTTTTCTTAAGAAGAGAAGGTGACAGACAGATGAGAAGCTGGACAATGCATTCTCCTCTACCCCTTCCTCCTCCTCCGCCATAGCTAGCTTTTTATGGTCTTTTTTCGTGTCATCTGATTATTTCTCGAATAGCTGACGCATCTCTGCCTCCGTGATGAGGGTGGTGAGTCAGTTGCTAGGACAGGAACAATCATTGTAATCACCAGCACCAGAAGCAGCATCAACACCGTCGGAAAGGTTCATGTTTGTTTGACCCTACAACGACATGGGTAAAGGCTAGTTGTGGGTCCCCAGGGGCATATTTAAAGCTAATTGCAACGGTAAATCTTCATCACTTTTTGGATGGCCATTGCAGCAGAGTTTCTGGGAACCAGAAGCATATATAAGTATCACATTAATCTCTAGCTACATGGCTATTTCTTACAAAAAAAGAAGTTGACTGCCAAGGGTGTACTGAATGCGATGTTTCGTTCTTGTGGGCTATTTTAGCTTTGACATTAAGAATCAGCGACTTGGTAAACAGACCCAAACTGAGATGGAGGTGGTGACACCAGTTGGCACCGGCACTGTTTGATCTGAGTTACTAATTCAACCGTATCGGTTGAGCGTACATTCCAAGAGTGGATGTGCCAGGCCAATTTAAACAAACTAGCGAGAGAATAGGAAAGCAATCATTCTGTCAAAGTCTTCATCCTCTTTTCTAACACAATGAAGAACAGTAGTGTATGCATATCCTCGAGAAGTGGGTCGGCTGTCCTTCAATGGTCCGTTGTTGGCATCAACCCCTGGTACTGTCACCTACTTAGAAGAATAAATAATAAATTTGAGGAGGCCTTCATTGCAGTCAGATGATGGAGAAGACAGAGGCAAGAATGTACTTATATAATATACTGAGCTCATGGAACTGGATCACGAGATCCTGTGACCCAGCAGAGTCCCCATCCCTAATATTGTTGGCGTAAAAAGCAGAAAAGGCGAAAAGGTGGTCTAAGACAATTGTACTGAAAGAGATGGATAATTGACAGCCACTTTCCAAACTGTATAGGGAGGAACATGGATTCGCAGACTGATAGGCCTTAAAACACATTGTCTGCCATCCGTTTTCTGCATGTGGTTGAAATCGGGTTCGAGAGTAGCTCCGACTTTCACTCATGATACGCTAAATTTGACAAAAGGTTTTATTAACAAGTTACTTTCCAACCACTTTACTCAGTTAATAGCAATACGTAATTCTCCATCACCATCAGGAATTGGAGAGAAAAAGAGAGGAACTTTCTGAACGAGATGCACCCACCTTTGAGCGCTTCACCACCACAATCAAAATGTTTACGTAAAGCATACCTGAGCGATTAGCACAGGAAATGAGCTACCCATGGAACAGCCACCGGTAGCGAGTAATACGAACCGACAATTGCAGTAGACAAGGCATTCCAAAAATTAATGAGGCATCACTTGCCTTGCCAGCCTTCGTTCTGCGGCCTTAACGACAGCGCGGAGAGTTCTCTTGAAAGGTGTTAGTCCTTCTGTCAGCTGACCACATAACATCCCCGAAAGCAACTCGTGCATTAGAAAGCTACTCTCTCACCTAACACCGACCATTCCTGACGTCATATGAGAATTCTTGGTGTTATACCACCATTTGATAATCCCCCGGTGATCCATAAGTGTTGTATTTTCCACACTTTTATCGCCTGAGCGATTTTACTCCAGCCACCCCTCCCTTTCAACAGTGGTTTGAAGCCCTATTATTTGACGTTACCTGCGAACTCGTACGACGTACAACGACTACTAGGCATCGCTTCATGCATTTCCTCTAGTGATCCTCAAGAGGTAAATGTGGCACAGTGCACGAACTTCGCTGGGGATGGGAGACACCCCGCAGTGGTGAGTGGTGTACACTTGCCTGCCTACCTGTCCGTGTGGTCCGCTTTACTTCTACTGGTGCTTGTGTGTGGGTGCTGTTGTGGCCTTTGGGTGGTCTGGTCAGCAGAGCGCGATGGAAAGTGGGTCTAGGTCAGTCCATTACATACCCACACGCACACACAAAGTGCTGATGACTCATGACATGCTGGTCGTTACCACCAACATGTCCACTCTCTCACACAAAAGAGGTGACTATGAGCCTTCTCTCCGAAGGCGACTTTTCCATTTAAGCCGTCAGAAGTAACTTCAGCCTGATAGATATAATGTAAAGTTTGGGCAGAAAACTCCTGATCCCAATTTTTATGCCTGTCAAACGTTGTCCTTGGGCATGAATAGTCCCACCTTGAGCAACCAGGCGTGTTCACTTAATCACTTATATGGGAAGCATCGAAATGAGTAGTAGAACTTGTTCGTCCTGCACTTTTACCACCGCATTACCGGCAGTGATAGCTTGAGGGGCCAAGTGAAACACCACTTGATGAGTAACAACTAGTTTTTACCTTCATCTCATGTTGATTCCATGAACAACAGTGTTGTTTGGGCTTGTGGCATGTGGACAGTACCAGCGCCAGATCGTCAAACATACGCTGTCCTCTTTAGACAGATGCAGTTCCCGTAGTTCTTCATTGTGTCAGGCACTTGTCAAACTAGAACAACACAATGATGTGCTGATCTGGTTGGCCTCCTTATCGTAATTAAGTAAGAAAGGAGGCTAACTTTGCAGAGGCGATTGTTTTCCGGACGCCATCTTGCTAAAACGTTTATTTCGGCTTGCACCTGGACAGCTGACTGTAGTTGATTTAGCAATGGGATGGAAGAGTGAAAGCGACACCTCACATTTATCACCAAAAGTTAAATCGTCTATCAGAAGGCGACATTTTACCTGCCAGAATGGGGCTTCTCAAGCACTTCTTTCGGCGATGCTTCGCGTTGCCGCTTGTACACGCTCACAGCATGTAAATCAAATAACTTGCATCGTATTCTAATTTTTTGTCAGTCACCCTATTGGGTGAATAATTATTAACTACCAAGAAATGGAAAGACACTTTGACTTGACAATGGATGATGAATCATGTCTACTTTTGCATTAAGAATAAGCAGTCCGTCAAAGGTGGACTTTAGGATGCTGAGCCTACCCGTGGATACCACTCCCGGTTAGGAAGATGATGTAGAAAGCAGAATTAAACAGTTACCTTAATTACCGGAGGTTAGAATCACTGCCAATCAGTCAGTGTCATACACACCTAGTGGTTCTGAGGGTTTCTAGCACACTCTCCTGTCAAAGTCAATTTTTCCTCAACTCCACCAATCAGCTTTGGTTATTCGCTACCCTTCTTGAACCAGTGAGATTAATGTCCACGTTACACCTTTATCTTGGCCTTTGCAGAAGTCTTTCTGATTGCCGTTGGAGATCTATCAGTCTAATTGGAGTCCTCCCTGAAGCCGTACTAGAGTTGTGACTGTTTGCATGGAGACTTCTTTTCAGCTTTCAGTGGGGCTAGATGGCTGTAGACGAGGCTGCGGAGCAAATATTAAAGCAATCGTTAAAGAATATCAAATTACCACGTAGCCGCTCCTTCTTCGGGTGTCTGCCCTTCCCCTGCGTTCCCCATGTTAACTCATTCGCTTCCATTGCCACTATTTTTTCAGCGCTTTAACACCCACCCTTCTCTTGAAACAGTGACGCTATTCGCCGATTCCATTGTTTGCGAACTGAGCTGGCTTCGTAGTGCTCAATGTTGGACGAGGCACTACAATGTGGGAATTTCACATGCCAGTCATTTGGTGGCGAAACATTTGCCTTCAATCAGAGCCATTTCACAGACCACAACTTGAATTGGTTTCTTGGACCTAAAATTGCACTTTTAATTCCTCCTTGCCGCGGCGTTCTCACTTCAGCGTCGCCTAGCCGTTTGTCCGAGTTTCTTTCAAAACTCCGGATATTAAAGGCCCCGAGAAGTTAAATAGAACCCTTACCAAACATCAGCCACTATAGTTGGAGCCTTCCCGGTAAAAACGCTTTCTAAAATTTTAAGCCTGATGATGGTTAGGGTCTGGGTTATGACGATCGAAATTCGGCCATACTGCGTTGAAGTGAATTGCTCCATCACTTCAATCACTCAACTTCCCCGCCTCCCATTTCAGGTCAATCGACTAGCTAACCTTTCTATTCTAACAATCTGGTGTTTAGAAGTTGTCCCTCCTGGCCTTCTAAATATCGCCTTAACACACTAGGGTGTCGCTCGGACAGGAACCCCGTTTCAGAGTCGACTACACACCGTCATTTAGAAGGTGATTTAAGTGTTCGCCAGAGCCCAAGTTTAATTACACTTTGTTTATGGCAGATGGCTCCAAGCCAGATGCAGTTGAATGGTCAGGTCATGCGGGACCCTAGTCACCCGTTCAGTTCCACCTCCCCCGCTCCGCTCCATTCCACGTTCTCATATTTATCAAGATTTTAAGGTGACTTTTGAGGTCAAAGGACCAGCGCTAAGACAGCTCTGGACCCCGGACGGTACGATCCATCCTGACATAATCCGTTAACTCAACAGACGCCATAATTAATGTAAAATGCTACCCTCGGGAAATCGGCTTTTTGTAATCTAGCTATCGAGACGGTAGCCATGGACTGTAAGTGATCCTACCTCTGTCTTCCCTACGCTTCACTGGCCGTAAAGATTTACAGGTCAAGGGTCTGTTAAAACTGCATCAAGTTTTATCTTTGTTTAAGTGTGCATTTAACCGTGTGGGCTCCTCATTCTCCCCATATTGAACACCCTCCTTCGCCCACTTGAACGTTGGCTTATGACAACTTCAGGAAAGCTTCGAAAAGCTACGCTACAACTGCCACCAGTTTCAAGCGCTGCGGAACACATGGATCACATCAAGCCAGCAAGATGGCAGATGGACTTGGTACTACCATGGTTAAATTCGTTTTCCGTCTCTCGGGGAGTTTTAAAACACCTGGATGCTGTTCCGCCGATCTATTCAGAAGAGCGCCTACGTATATTTCAAACACAAGGCTTTTTGGTCCTACCGACTATGTCGAAGGTCTCTCAACTCCTCTCTGCGAGAGGGCTTCTTCCCTTCTCTTAGGCCTTGTACAATCTTTGAGGGTGATGGCCTCATTATTTGTTTAAATAACCGCCTATATCACAAATCCTTTTTCGAAATTTTGCCCTCTGCTTGAGCTCAAACACAGATTGGAATGTTAATATCTTCTCGTCAAATTTTTTTGGAGGAAAACATGTGATGTCCTAGAGAGATTGCCATGATGCAAAAGGCAGTCGGGTATGTCTACACCCAACCCCCTACCGCTAATCCATCTGAGGCTATACATCTCCACTTGTTATGTTTTTGTCAACAAAAAGGACATGACAGCGGCTTCACTTAACGTCCGTGCAGAAGTGGTTTGTAAATAGTCAAAAAATGTGCTAGAGCTAGTTGAAAATGAGATTAAAAACTCTTCGGCAAATCGGATAACGATATGGCGGTGGCCGCGACTATTTACGACAGCGCCTGCGTCTCAGACGCCTAAATAATGGTGGTCTGGTGGAGAGGGAGGAGAAGTAGCTGCCTTGGTTAAATTAATGCGACTGCATGTGTTGTGGGGATTCACAATTAAGAGTGCCTCCGAAAGTAAACATAAACTGAGGTTTCTTTCACTTTACGAGCTATTCATCACTAATTATTACAGGAGACCAAATGGAGTCGGTGTTGCGGAATCCTGTTTGTTTAAATTGTGCATCTATGATGTGGCTGGAGGTGTAAATTGACATGAAAGGGCTCCACACAACCGGCAGACTAAGTGGTCAAGTAAACCTTGCGCGAAAACAAAACAAACGTCAAGACGGCTGGTAAACATGTCAGTATGTACATGGGAACCACTTTAAAGACGGAGGCATAGACGGCGGATGTTAAAAGCATCAATTTGGCACAGCTCATTTAGCTGAGATAGATGTAGGTGGCCTATCACATCAGGTGATCAAAAAAAGAAATCTGTGCCGTTCCGATTTGTCTGGCTGAAACCTACATGCGATTGTTTGGATAAGGGCATTGCAAAATATTGACACACATCACCATTTCATCGGCACGGCGCCATTTACCGTGATCTCTGCCGTCTTTCGACTATGACTACTTCAAGTCAAACCCCACACCATCAAATGTCGACATTATCAGTTGGTAGGCGTGATTCGAGTTTGCTTAGTCTATCCCGGCTTCAAAGTTGCAGGTGGGGAAGGCGGATGCTCGGCGAGTGGAATTTGCTGCGTGGTATTTAAAGGTGCGGTAGTGCGGAAGTGCTTCAAGTAAACAATTTGGTTGTAGTGATGAATCACTCAAAGGTGGGGGCATCTCACTCACGAAGGTCCTCTCTCTTCATCCCCTTCTGATGATAAGGAATTACGAGTTAGTGTTAACAGTAAAGTCTTATGAGGCAGATAGCTTGCGTGCTCTAGCATGAGAAAGGGTGATGCAATGTCATGGTGGTTGGGTCCACGAACAAAATCTCTGGAGAATCGTTCTCCACGTGTTTCGTTGCCATAAAACCACAGGAACTTATTTGTCTGCCTTGCGTCAGAACTCCAACCTTCACTGCCTTTTGTGTTGAAAGGTTAGTTTATGGTGATCCACCTGAATTTTTATTAAATCCATGTATTGCCCCAATACGCCTCGTCTCGTCCTGCCTCGGTCCAGGATTCTGTGGAGAGTTCAGTCAAACTCAGGAATTGGGCAAAATGCCAACCAACTGAAAAGAGTGCTTTGCATCTATCGCTCTGAGCCGCCATCTGTTTGGCCACTCCATCCCACCCACAGCTCACGAATATAAAGTCCATCCAACTTGCTAATTAGTGCAAGACTGTCTGGCTGCCTGACCGACTGACTTCAAAGACTCACGTAAAAGTGCGTCCACCGGAAACATGTGCTAGTCCTCTCGTTTTGACACACCACTTCCTCTTCCAGCTTCGCAGTCTCCCTCCACTTCGGCCAGCACCGCAGACCACTTAAAACGAATCAGCGCACCACCCAACAACCATGCCAGACAAGTATTCCAATTCAAATGAATGCCATTGTTGTCCTACTAAATTAACTCCTTCGGCCAAAGTGAGTCATAGAAGTTTATGATAAATTGCCTTCTACAACTTAATCAAGTCTACTGCTTCATCACAAAACGGCCCTCTCCTTTTCGTGTTTTTCGGCCAAACTTACGTCATGGATGAATTGCAACTGCACTCCTTAGACCAAACGAAGCAACAACTTCACAGGTTTGGATGGTGAAATCTGCAGACTTCGTGTGGCACCTCTAACCTCTTGCATTTCGCCTCAACCAAGGTCACATGTACGCCGGTCCATTACCTCTCAGTACTTTCATCCACGCCTGTTCCACCTTCTCTGTGGTTTTGGTGGCAGCTTTTGAAGGAGGAGAAGTGGACTCTAAACATGCTCGACTAAGAAATTAGGTGATGTTACTGGACACCAAAAGATGGCTTGAAATGTCGAAAGGACGAATCCATCATCCACTGTTTCATCGCTCGAAATAAATTGAGTGATTGGTGGAGGTATGTCAAAGGCGTGTCATGGGCTCCTACTTTGTCGTCATCTGACTACCGCCAGTGTCATGTTGAGCAGTAACTTGCAGAAGGGACTGTATAACAAAATGAAGCTTGTTTTAAGTTTACGTGGCATGATATGAGCCTCTTCAAACACCCACCTGTTGTCCTCCACGTCGATGGCATTAAGCCCTGCCAACGCAACATCTATGCCACTATCTGGTGGCCATTCTGTAGGCTCATAAGTAGGCTACTTACAAGCTTGTGCGCATTATAGTATCCTTTTAAAGATTTTAAGCACAAAACTGATAGAAGCTTTGGAAAACCCTTTATTCTAAATGTCACAGAAGGAAGGCCGCATGTGCGACGACACAACAGAAAGTTGCCTAGCCAGTAAATTAGTGGAACGAGATTAGTAAGGGCCGGAATCATCGCCTCATTGTGGCACGCCGCGCCCTTTTAACCGAACTCTACATTCTCCTTCCACTTCCGTCATCAACACATACTACTTATAACATATCAGCACACCACATCGCAATCACATGTCAGAAAAAATAGTTCCACTCAAGCAAACAACATTGGTCTTTTGGGAGACCATCTTCTAGGGTATAAAGTCGGTCGAAATACTTCTGAGGGAAGAAAGATTTCCGAATATTTGGATTTTTTAATGATGCTTTTAGCCTTATTAAAAATTTACCCAATTTTGGAAATCAGAAACCCAGGCTGTCTGGGGTCATTCCAAAATTTCAAAAGCATGTCTGCATTTTCCTCATTTGTAGGTCAGAAGAGGTTGCCCGTCCATCTATTCAGGTTTCAAATTTTCATTAATTTTGTACAGCCTTAACAAGGGCATAATCACGCACTAACTTCTTCCTCCTTTCCAGTAGTTTACTTCCCACTCTTTCTGCATCCGTGGTGGAATCACTCCACTGGATCAAAACATCTTGCTTCGTATATATACCGCCCCACTCCTCTCCACAGTCTACCACGCAACGTATTTCACTTGACTCAATTCAAACATTACCCCAGTCATTACACCCTGCTTCCCTACTCCTTCTCTCAGTTGTCATACCCTCAACAAATGCAGACTTTTTCCCCTTTCTTGCAAAGACTCACCATTGAACGCTCATCCGAGCACTGCTGCATTTATTCGCCTTTCGGTGGTGTGTGGTCCCACCACAGTGCCTCAGTCGAACGTACCGTCGAGGGGCAAATGTAGTCCACCATGAGGCTTGAATGTGCACGGTGGTGGTGGAGCTGTTCTGTGACAGAGTGCAATTCGGCTTAACCAGCCGTCTAGCCTGTGCTCACATCCCCTAAGCTAAGCATGTCAAGCCTGGTCCAATGTGGACATTGAGGAATAGAGTGATGAGCTTAAGAACGTCCTCGGAGGTGAGTGAGACGGCACTACGTGGTTGGCAGCGTGATGGGCTGTGTTGTCTACACAATTTACTCCTTGCTGAAAGTGCTGCCAATTTGACCGGAAAATAGGGGTGAGTTTAGCTTTTAAATGGAGCAAGTGGATCATTGAACCCATCTGTGCTACCATAACAAGACAGCTTTCACCTGGAGGGGGTTGCAGGAATCCGTCAAGGTCTAGCCCCTAGACATTTTTGTTGGAAATAGCGCAAAACACTCTATATTAGCCAGCAAAGTAGGTATACAGAAATGAGTGAAGAATACAAAGACTTAAGTCAGTAAGGCATTCAGTAAAAGTAAACGCCAAAAAGGACAAAGATAGGAAATAAGTGTTCAAACCGCCGGAGAATCCTGCTATATGAGCGGCAGCTGCTGTGGCAGCCAGTTAGATGCACACAGCCCTCTTTTTCTCACCCCATCTTCACACTTCTACGACTATACCTACTCATGCCAAATGCGACCTCGCCGAAGGTGGGTTGCCTGGTAAATTCAAAACCACCTTTTCCGCTACCGCTTTTCCTCTGTGATTTTCCTTACTGATAAAAACGTGTATCCTCCCTGGTCCATATTCAGCAGTTTAAAATTTCACGTTCTAATAAATACAAAAGGGGCAATGGAAGTGTGCGGTGTTGGTTTTATTGGCACGCCTGACAATCACACCATGTGGACGTTGAATTGTCTCGCTTGGTGAGGCCAGAAGGGGAGCTAGGTCCTACAACCTAGCTGTGTTTTGCATTCCTACATCAACCATGTCTAGTAAGCAAAGAGGAACATGAGGAGGAGAATTTTTACGTCTTTAGATCATGCCAAAAGTTGCTGCATTTGAAGCTAAAAATGGCGTTTAGTTCTTTAAGAATATCTGCGAATTCGAAGATCCAAAGTCAAATGGGTTTGGCTACGTCTTCCCTAAGAAGTTTTGACAGATGCAGCCATCAAGAATGTGCTTACTCCTTCTGTGACATTTGAGGTCGCCATCTAGCCAAATGACATCTGACTGTTGCTCATTTGGATTGGGTCTGCAAGACACCACCATCCATGTAATATCTCGAGTTACCATGGAGCCCCCTACCTTCTACGGTTTGGTTATGGCTCTCCTATTCTAATGTAGCCTTTTGTGACATTAGACAAGACTTAGGGAACCCCACATTTTATGGACTGTTACCCACTATCAACCGAAATCTAATGGGCTACAAAACCATTCTTCTTAATAGTCAAGTAGGTTTAGTTCAAAAAACCTTAATTACAACGCTGATTTCTCTCCTGATTTTCAAAATCGTTGTCGAATCCCAAAAAATTCACCTGGAAAAATACGCCCTTTTCAATGTCTTCCTTCAGACTTGTTGTCCTGTATCTGAATGACCCAGCTCCACGTCACACACTGTCCGATGAAGAATGTTATGAGATTCTTTACTTGGGTAGTGCAGAAATTCGGCATTAGATTTTATCCACCTTAGAGAGAGAAAAAGATAGTGTAGCTGTTTATTTTGGCGCTTGGCATAAAAAAATCCCCAATGAATTAAGAAAGCTCCCACGTTCTCATTAAATTTCAATCGAAAATGCAATAACCGATCCAATAGTTTCTAAAGATGGCATGGAGCGTCTTTAACTTCAGGGCTGGAGGACTAGTGTAGCCCTGCAAGGCACCCCTGAAAACAAAAGAAGCAATCATACTCCGGCGGAACATGTATTGCCGACGGAGAGATGGGCTTGGGGCTGCTGGCATGGCTCGGAGGTCATGTCACCTGGCGGATGTACACCGGCGAAGCCCCTATGTGATCCTTTACCAAAAGCGAGGGTTAGCCAATTAACGTGTCAGCCCATTAGCACATTCGTCGAGACGGAATGCCATTAAAAGAGATAATGAGGTGGTCATCAGAAGTGTAGTTTTATGCTCTCCAAAAGTACACTCCTTAAATGAAAGGTTGGTGGTGAGGTGAGGAGAGGAGGTATCTGGGGTAAAAATGAGACACGGCAGTAGTTAAAACAATGGGTTCAGAAGCAGGTTTTTGTGTGCATCCTACTGTCTTTCCAGTGTGCCCTCCCGACAGCCTTACGACTGTCAGTATAATGCAACGAAATGCACTCAACTTCACCAACTCTTCTCTTTTCCGCAAATTTTGGTCGTCACCTCTGTATCATGGTTGTCCGTCCAGGCCAATAGCCCCGAAGTCCTCCTGTTCGTTGTTTTTACAAGACTGACTCAGGCAGGCGAGGCCAATCTAAAAGCACGACGTCACAGCAGGAGGACGCCTGCTATGGCCAACTGAAGCGACACAGACGCATTACAGCGTAGGAACTGAAGTAACATCAACTTCTTAGCAAGTACCGCGATTTCGAAAAGCAACTGGAAAGGAGGACTTTCCCACCTCTGGTGTCACTTTTCAAATCTGTCCCAAGCAGGTTTACGAGCCAAAATGCATTGCTTCTCTTTTTGAGGGCTTGAAATTAGGGGAAGACTCTTTGTGTTAGGAGTAGGAAAGTATCCAAGGGAAGCGTCGAGTAAACTATTCTAAAGGAAGTGGTGATGTGGTGTCAGGTTATTTCTGTGCTTCTGTGCGTCATTATCCAACTCTCTTTATACTGACACGCCTCCTTACGTCTTCAGAGTGATCACCTTGCTACAAAACCGACGCCTTGGGGTGTCCATTCTACCCTCTCTCGTGCCGTCTATGCGCGATATCGCTAGAGCACGTGTCTGTTGGTCATATGACACTCGGTGGAGTGGTTCATTGTTATTGTTGTTGCTACTGCTGCTGCTACTTTTTTACGTTCTTTTGTCTTAGCCGGTTAGCAACCGCACGACACAAGACCCGTAGCCATGTGACATGCCCGGTTTGCGTGGGCGGGTACTACCACCCCCTTTCCAATCTTCCGTGAATTTGAAGTTTGGGAAGAATCAACTTTTCCATAAATTTATTTCATATTTAACTGTAGTATACACTAATTTGTAATGTGTTTTGAATTTGCTTTAAAATCACGTCCGAAATCAACAACTATGGGGAATGAAATCAACTCCTTTGCGATTATTAGATTCACGTAACTTCTTCGGGGAGTGTAAACAACAGCAACAACGAACTATTGTGGGATTCGGTTTGCAGCCTACTGAAGAATTCCCCTTAGGAAGTCATAATGAGACCGCCAACTTGCCAGACACCCGACTTTGAATACAACGACTGTATACCACTTTTATATGGCAATTACTTGCACTGGTTGTAATGGCCCTAATAACAAAAGTCAAGGCGTTGGTCCTCTGCGTTGGGGGTATTCCTGCTGGTAACCCTTTCACTAATGAACTGAGCAGTTGTCCAAGTGGTCCATGTCTGGACCCCACGGGAATTTTTGATCTTTCCCTCTCAGATTTGTATAGGCTGTGATGGAGTTGGACGAGTCATGTCGAACCACAAGAGAGCACTCACTAACTGCTCTGGATGTAGAATCCTTTGGGGTCAAAGTGATGAGGTTGGACATCGGCTCCTCTAGTACTGCCCATGAATCACATTGTCCAAGAAAATCAAGCCTTCTTTTTTGAAGGTATTTTAAGTGACCCAATCACGAGAACCTATGATAAAATAGGCTTATTAACCAGAATTTGTATTAAAAATTTTCCCTTCTTTTTAGTTTCTGTGAACTCATTTTGAAGCACGAGAAGTATGAAGGGGAATGCAATTGCAGAACTCCCAGTGGTGGAAAGGAAGCTGAAGTAAGTAAGGAGCTTGAGCTATACCATCAAGAATTGTGAATTATCCTTGAAATTCTTCTTTTCCAGTGGCACGCATGACTACGGTTTTGGTATGGACAAATGGGAAGCTTGAGAAGAGGAGGAGCAGATCAACATGCCATCAACATATGGACCGATTCACAGGGTAGGGAAAAGTGCCCCAGCTCCTCCATAGCAATCCCAATAGGTAAAACTGGTAATATTTTAGTCAGGCTAACAACCAGTAAACAAATCCAGGTTGTTAAATTCTGGGTAAACCACAGTAAACACATGAATTGTTTGCTAATTCTGATGGGCAAAATTCGAGCTCATCCGGTTTACGAATTAGCCCTACCTTGGTCCCAAGTTGTGACCCAAAATTCCCTCACAACATTCGAAGTAGGTGTTACAGAAAAATGAACGGCAAAAAAGGCTTTAAGTTTACACTTCGATTGCGGTGATGCATCAGTCGAAGATGAGTAAATGTCCAACAGGAAGATCTCTCCATTCCCTGTTGATAACGAAGGATTGGTTGAAGAGTAACTTATCACCTACGACTTTCGCGCATGTTTGCCATAACTTAAACGGCAGTGAAGCAGTCTACTTATACCTATATCAACTGAAAAGGAAAGCTGATGAGTTTCGGCTACATCCATTAACAGATTGCAGACAATGCATCCGATTTACTGCCTATTTTGGCTTCATTTCACAAGGTATAAAAAGCGTAATTGAAGAAGGATAAGATTGGTGACTGCGTGACTTGTGATAAAAAATGGTTTTTTGTGCTCCTGTAATTCAACATCCGTTAAGAAAAAGAACCTTCTAAAGGATCCACCCAGTACCTCTCCGAACACATCCACCCACACAAAGTCCTAAGGTATCGCATCCTTCATTCACGCACACAAAGCAGGACCAGGCTTCCTTTGTTTGGATGGTGATGGACTGCAGGCGTAATTAATCATTCGCTGCAGGCCAAACAGCGATTTTGGTCCTGATCTACCTTCTCGATATTCTCAATGCGCTGGAGCTAGAAGGTGGCCATGTAAAATCTTCCCTCAAAAAGGGAGGTAGGTTCTATCCTTGAACTAGGAGGGCAACCCGAGATGTGACCTCATACCTCATAGCGTAAAAAAAGGCCCTTAAGAGAACTTCATGTGGCACTTGAGGAGGGGAGCAAACGAGGAACGTAGGTCCTGGTTCTCATTCTCATCCCCATCCAGATGGCATCCACTCCCAAAGTAGACATTTGGGTGAACCCAAATGCGATACAAAAGGGAGTTGCTAGGACTGGGCTTTTTCTTGAGTTTTAAAAACAAAGCATTGCAGAAAGGTAGAGCTAGCAGCATGTTTGCGTCTGGTTGAGAAAGGATGACTGATTTCGGTGGTAATAAGTAGTTTATGAAGCTTTTTATGGTTAAAATTAGCCTTCTTCACCTCTCAAAGCACCTAGAGGGCACGTGATTTCAAAGGGGGTGATCACAAGGGTGTCCAGGCAAGTGCCACCAGATAACCTGTGAGGCGCAGACATTGCCTTCTCCCCTTACCCCGAATAGGTGAAGCTGTGTAATACCCGTGTCATGTGGCGTTGATGATGTAAAGGCTATCTTTTGCAGTGGCAAATTAATGTCTGATACTTCGTAGCTATCCACCTAATTACGAGGGAGAGAGGGGGAGAGGAGGAGAGCTATCACGAGGTCGCGTTTATACCAACAATCGAGCTCTAATTTTAATTAGCGTGTGACCTACAGTAAATGACTCGACACTTTATCAAATTCACATGAGGCGCCTGCTTCTTACCTATTCCCTTTCATATCTTCCTAACTCAAAAGCCGTCTCACCACTTTTGGATGATAAAACCTGAGAAATTGTTTAAAGAGGGGAAAAAGAAGGGCTTACCAATGTATGATCATCTTTCTCCCGTGTAATGGTTAGTAATCCACCTTTTTGTCTCATGAACAAACAACTTGGTTTTCAGCTATCACTGCTTTATCATCACACAGGCCTTTTCCTCCTCTCTCCAGTCGGTCTCCAAGACGGTCGCATGCAGCTCTGCTCTTGCTACTTACACTCTGGGTTTTGCAATCGTCCCCACTTGTTTTAAACGATGTTACTTCCAGACTGATAGGCCTTCTAGCCTCTCAAGAATCAGCTTTAACTCCTTCCAAAAAATATGGCAGTTTGTAGTGATTTCCCGAGGTAATGGGTTGGCTACTGGTATAGACGGGCATCTGTTGTAAATAGCTGTAGAAGGACCATAAAAGGTAATATCAGCCACATTATAACTGCCTCATTGTTAAGACCTGCAACGAGGTGGTAACAAAGAAAGTTTTCCATTCAAGGGGTGATGAGCTGTGAATAATCTTGACGAACGATTGGACAGTTCCAAGGTAGCAGCAAAGTGAAAAGGAAAGTTTAAACCAGGATGGAATGTTGAGGTTCCACGCCTTATCATCCACTTTTTGGTAAGGTGAAGAAGGAGAGGAATTATCATGCGAAAATTCGGTCGTTGGAAAGCAACGTCAAGCCTTAATTAATACTTATCAAATGTTTCTCCTTAATCCAGTTCACAAGCGAAAATCGTAAGGCTGGAAGAGATTCCACAATGAAGAGATGTCGTATGACAATCCTAATTAGGCCTATTTCCTTAAGAACTTTATCAAAATTGAGTAGAATAAAAAATCGCCTCGTTTAATCGTCGTTTTGAGACACTTGGATACCGTTGCAGTATTCAACGCAGAACAACTTCTGGAAGAGAAGCTGGCAACGCCATGAAGACGAAGAGCACGCAGTAGGGTGACCTGTGACTGGATGCACAATAATCCAAATGTTGATTTCTTAAAAGACAAGCGGTCAAATTAAGGCTCATTTATTGTCAATTGCATCATCGTGCTGAAGATTGCACACTTTTCGAGTCTCCTGTTGTACAGTTAAAGTACCCAGTCTTGCACAAAATTTGGCCACTTGAACACAAACCACAGGTAGGCTTGGAATTGACATTGCCATATGTTCCTGGATGAAAAAAGTTGCCTCGAGGGGAGCATCATTGTACTTTAGCGTAAATCAACCCTGCAGCTCGTAAAAATCTTCAAACAAGTTCCAATCAGTGAGATTTATTACCAATTACTACCTCCTAATTTGTTCATCCACCTCTAAGCAGAGGTTATGGAAGATTTTTTTATGACCATCGGCAGGGAAATGGAAGAGTTTCTCATTATTTCGCTTTTATGAGCGATGATGAAGTGAGAAACTTCCAAGGTTTCATTTTCTTATATGACCAACTACGTCACCCATATGTGACACATCCAGCTAGAATGAAATTAGCCTGATTAGAAGAGAAAAGGTAAGATAAAAACAGTTTGTTTGACCCATCAAAACAACAATGGGAAAAAAGAGTAGGCTTTGTCGCAGGTTTTCCCTTCAGGGACACACCGCTAACAAACTCATTTTCACCTCTCACAGGGACAAATCTACCAATCAAATTGCCAGCCATCCACAAATCCTAAATTTAGCTAAGTTCTCGATTTTTGAGTAAAAAAGAGGTTGCTCTCAAAAAGCGGTCACTTTTTATCGAAGTAATAATCAAGGGAGTTTTGAAGGCAACTGTATGGATAGCTAGATACATTAGATTTGGCAGTTATGGGGAAACCAAGCAAGTCCACTTGATTTTCCATGTTAAGTAACTTCTTTGGGTGCTCTATTCACCACCAAAACTTACCATCCTTTCCCAAAGAGGTGAACTTCGTTGCAAAATTTCACGTTTATCAAACGCTTTGTTGTAGCCACCTCCGCTTGCGTCTCACTTTTACTCTCCCAACTGTTGGTTCAATTTTGCGAGTAACCATGTAGTTAACCACTCAGAGAAGCATCGTCTGGGGAATAAGGAGGATGAGAATGAGAATGAGGACGAGGGCATGTATTTGTCCTTTCCCTCATGTTTAAGTTCTGCATGAGGTTTTCTGCCAGATCAGGTTTGTAGGTCTTGTGTCCCTGTGCCATCTAGGATCAAGAATCGGGATTTTCTCTCCATCATTTAATAGTCTGCAAGAATAGCCTTGTGTTGTGCGAAAGACGGGTGTGAAACTCCAGAAATGTGAGTGTGGATGTGTTTGAGGGAGCCCTGAGGGAGTTGCTTGAGTCTAGTGATAGAATCTTGCTTAAACGGTGCCGTAATACAAGAGCACAAAATCCATTTCTCATCACAAGTTACGCGGCCAGTCAGCAGACAGCTCCTTCTTTAATGACACTTTATATCGTAATGCTTTAATGCGTATCAGGGGAACTCACTTGGTTCCCAGTTTCCATCAGGGCTTCTTCCTCCCAGTTTATGTGGGCAGAAGCGCATTTTTTCACTATGACTCAAGTTACCCTGAGTCTGGCTGAGAGCCACTAGTGACAGGCTCTTCACGTATTTCACCCCGTTAGCAGTGAGACGTAATTCTTCGTCACCATCAGAGCATAGAGAGAAGGTCTTCCTGAACAAGATGTACCCATCCTTGAGTGATTCATCGGCACAATCATTTTGTTTACAAAGCCATTTTGAGCGGTGCTTTTTGCTACCGCGCGCCCTCTTCAAATGCGAGGATCCAGCCTCTGAGGCCACAACTTGGGACCGGGGTCAAACTGGATTCGTGAAGTAGACACACTGAGAACCACATCCGTCGGTCTCAATCGACCTTTGACGGTGCGAGGCCAGGTTTAGGAAAAACGGGAATACCGCACAGGTGACACACTGACGCATGCCAACTCTTTGTAGTACATTGGTAAAAACAACCGAATGCCTCTTACAAGAACCTTTAAGTTACAAAGGTCATTGCATAAATCGCCTCCTCAGACCGGTCATCTGATGTCTTTCCCCCTCTCATGCTAATTAATACTTCCAACTGCACTTTATTAAGCTCCCAAATTGGAACTTTGGACCAGCCACCCCAGTGTCTTCACTTCCATGGCCTTTGTTGTTAGATCAAAGACGCCGCCGACTGCGTAGACTTTTTCATTACTATTTTAGTTGTTCCTGTCTGACTTAAAGCCCCATTAATTTTCTTCAATGAATGGCGAAAGCAGAAACCAAATTAGCACCCGGATAACATCACTCATTTTAGGCGACAAGTTTACTAACTGCCTTAATTCACCTTGAGTTGGTTTTTCTTCTACCTATTACGGTCGTTACGGTCTAGGAGCACTAATGTACTATTTGCATGAGGAATAGTACAGGTGGTTGCCATGGCACAAACAATATTTTAATGACCTTATTTTACATGCCTCGCTGCCCCGCCCAAAACATAATTTGAATGTGTGTTTGTTTCGGGTGCAAATGTGTATAAAATTAGCTTTAACTTCTAATAATAAAGGCAAATAAGACGTAGTGTTTGGGGGGGGAACAGCACCTGGGCGTCAATTGCTTCCTTTCTTTGTACAAAACTTTCATGGTAATCTGCTGACTCCAATTCGTTGATAACATTAAATTAACATGAATTCTTTCAGTAGTACATCTTTAAATGGTCCAGGATTTACTTTTTTATTAACCTAACTTCAAAATGTAAAAATTTGCAAAATATGATTTTAGATAATTTGTAGGGGCATTTTTTTGAATATTTATGACACCCCGAGGCCTTCGTGAAGACAAAAGAAGCCATAATACTATAGCAGAGTATATATTACGGACGTACGGAAGGGGTAGAGGCAAGGACTGCTGGCTTGGAGAGGGGGCCACTTGGTTTAGCGGAAGTACAAAGCCGGAGCCTTAAATGCCTGCGAAACCAAAATGCAGAGTTAAACAAAATCCCAAAGTATTGCTAAAGTGTCAAGACCAGATCAAAAAATCAGATATGGTGTAAGAGGAACAACCGCTATTTAACGGTCATAAGATCGCTCGGATTTATCGATTTGTCCTTGCTTTCGTTTGTCATTGGTTCGGACCGATATTTGCGGTTGCTCCGCATTCCGCCGATTGGTAATCATGCAGCGATTATAGTCGAAAGCAATTTGACATTTCCAACGTAATTTACTTGCAGTTAATTGACCAAAAAATTGAAATGCATCGCAATTAATTTAAGCAAACTGACAACCTAACAGCATTCATTGAATCCAACATCGGTTGGTAGTCGTGCATTGGCAACACTTGAAAGCGTTACCAGGTTACTTGTGATGACTCAAACTAACCCACTAAACAATGAAATTCACTAAGAATAATTCAAGATAATTATCAAGATCTAATTTTTCAGATCCAGGAGGAATAAGAGCTACTTAGCCAAGCAAGGATTTGAGGTGGATCCATCATGTACCGAATTTGGTTGGGACAATTTCTCCATAGAATTTGGTGCTGATTTCAGACATGCAAGCACTAGGCATTTGATGCAGTACTAATGGCATCCTCCTCGAGCACAAGAAAAACATCAAGGAGTTAAAATAAGACAACAAAGGACTCTCAAAAAACACCCAACAGTGAGGATGCAGTGCAGTCCCTTCTTGTGGGCGAAGGGAGGGGTGGAATCGCGCATGGCCTGGGGGTAAGCCTCAAATGCTTCTGGCCCTTGCAAGGTTTCCCCCATCGCCTTGGTTATGATATTGGAGTGGAGTTTTTGGCTGGCATATGTCTCTCGGCCACCCGTTGTGTAGCCAACACAAGTCCGACACGAAAAAATGCACGAAGACTTTTTCACTTGCCCATCCATGTTCAAAGCAGCTTCAACGAGGTCTTATGAGCCATTGCTCGATAAGTAGTCACGGCCAGAGGCTTCGCTACACACATTTCTAGCGACTGTTGTCGCAATGGATAAGTGTTACACTCATACTAATGTAAATTTATGTTCTCGAATAAGGGAGGCTTGTTGGTTGACGATCTGTTCGGTGTAAATTTATCTTGAATGTGATTGGTTAGTCCTATAGCAATTTGTAATCTCTATAGCCAGTAAAATTTGGTTTTAAACAACCTGTCTAGGCTGGATTTTGGTCTTTCAGATTTTTTACCTTCTCATAAGTAGACCCATTCTTGGTTTCTGCAAAAGTTATTCAGGCGACCCTGATCTATCATTGTGGTGAAACGAGACTCACAAAATTTCTTTTCGACGGATAAACTCCGAGCATTTAAATTAATAAGTTCTTTTGCTTTTTGATAAATGCATTGCTACTTTTCTAGATGGACTTTTTAGGTTGCAATAGTGCAAAGGAGAAGGCAAGCAACGCTACAACATTAACCACGACCATCTGGTACTGAGGCTGGTCATATGGCAAGGTTGGCTTGCTGCCAAATTTCTTTTCAGTATCAGAGTTACAACCTGAGAGCTCTCAGAAAGTCCACCCTCCACTCTGGCTTAATCTGACAAAAAGTCATCCTGAATGGATTTCTTCTATCCCATGCACTTGTTTCCCCCTAGCTAAAGGGCTTGATTCTCCAAATTTCCTTCACAGGACTTCCATGCCGACATCTCTTAATGTTAATTGGAGGGCAATTATCGCTAGCTCCATTGTTTGGTGTACTCTTGAATTTGTGAGGTGAATAAAGGAAGATAGTCCCCTACGTAGTCTCCACCCTTTCATATAACCTCCCTCAACGCATTACATTTTATTGTTGTCACGCCTCATTGAAGGATACCTGCAATTACACTGGATAAATGTATGGGGGAGGGGTTAGTCCATGATAAATGAACCTAATTGGTTGCTTTCTCAGCTCTGATGGGTCTTTGGAATGTCTTTCAATTAAAAATCCGTCAGAAGAAAAAAGATGAAGTGGATTGGGCTGACACTGGAAGATGTTTCGGGGCTAAACTGACGACACTAACGCAAATGTCTTGACTCTTTACACTCGATGGAGACCGGACACTAAGAGGACAGAGATGACCGCATTTAATTCACCTCATCCCAAAATAATGCTTAAGAGAAGTAGTGGGGAGAGCTTGAGGTACTCCTCTCTTTTTTGTGCAAAATGGACTCACTTGTCAATCCGCTGCAGTAAAATGAGAAGAGAAGCTTGTTCCCAACCGACACAAATCTCATTATGCCAGCAAAGCGCTACCAACGGAAGGAAAAGGCTACGTGGACAAACATGTCACCTCGTTCGTTCATCTCTTTATCCTTTCGTCTTTTGCCCCTTGACTGAGTACTGGGTTCATTCAGAACAAATCAATCAGCCTATCAAACCGTCGGGTGGTAAAGTGAGCAAATATAAAAAAACAACTGCTACAGGAAGATATAGCACATTTTCTTCACATCAAATAAGAATGACATTGTTGAAGAGTACCTTTTTATTCTCTAAGGCTTAGTCAAAGTTGTAAATGCCCGTGCGATAGACTTCGGCCCACTGAGCCCTGAAGAGCCCAAACTGCTACCTATACTCTGGTGATGTAGACGGGTTTGGAGGCTAGAAAAGGCATGAAAGGTATCACCAGATTAATCCAAAAACCCGTTTTGAGGTTGACCAAATGAGTTAGTAGTTTAGTGGGTCAGAAATTACTATTCATCAAGCCAATTTGACCTCATTATCAGGGCATTTAAAAATTAACGGAACTACAAAGCTGTTCAATTAAATTTAGTAGAAGGTGCCGCATGTTTTAAACAAAGCATCTCAAATGTCTCTTTAATTTGTAATCTACTTTTGATCATAAAATGGTAGGTTCCTCAGGAAATGTACAGAATAGAATTTTGCCCTAGCCCAGTGCTATCTGGAACTGATGCCTCCAAACAGTAGACAAGTTCACAGATGGCAATATTCACGAAAATCCTCGTTTCAATGTCTCGACTTTTCTCCAATAGTAATGGTTAGTCAAGGTCGCCTGAAGGTGATCGCAGGGGCAACCACTTTGGCATATCTCCTTTACACACGCTCTTGTTATGATTACGAAATTTACTGTCGATGCACTTTTTGGGTATCTTCAACTCGAAAAATACCGGCTCACATGATTCCTCACCTCCTCGAGCATCACGAGTTTCTCGACCTAGCCGCAAGGTGTAGACAAAGTGCGACTACTCCAAGAAACACAAGCGGCATGGAATCAGCGACAAACACTTTGATCTAACGCACACTTAAAAAGAAGTCTCTGCAATAACCTTGGGAGTTCAGGCGCAGACCTACTTTCACGACATTCAAAATACAATGCCCCGGTGGTCCTCGCATCACCTCTCTGAATACCTTCGCGCACCAGCGTGTGAAGTCTGAAAGAGAAAATGGAATTACATGATAGGTGCATTTTCGGAATTTACAACGTACATAAAAATCACGCAATTGGCCTCCCTTAAATCGCCGACTAATTCAACAGATCTGGCGTCGCCTCCTAGCGCGTTCGATGTAGCTGACAACTCACTTTGTGTTAAAACAGACACTTTATTTGCTGAAAATGTTGATAAAAAACAGCCTTACTAAATGCCCTTTAAACTGTGAACACAATGTTGCCTTTATCAATCGACGTTATGCCTGTTGGACCTTTGTTCATCAAAGGGAAGGGCGAGGTTTACACTAGACTGCCCGCGATTGATGAATGAATGGGTAAACATGTGGAGTATCATGAACTGTCGGACAGTACATCACATTGTTCCAATGATGTCAATATCTCTCCGACGGTTTCACCCACAAATTTTGCACCGACGACTTCGCCGTCACAACGCTACGAATAAGCAGAGAATTCAATGTCTATGTGAAAGTAGTTAATTAATCAAATGTCATTTACGGAGAAGTTTTTACGTCACCGAATTTTGAACTGCTGTTTACTCCACTTGAGAGTCCATCAATTAGTGAATAGTTAAAAAACTAGGGAAGCTGGAGGGCCTTCTCCTCTGTGAACGGGACGAGATAGGTAAAGTGGAAACACGTTTGTAATCAAAACGGTTTTGTAGTTTGTGGCGAAGCCAATGGGCATAAATATCGCTGTGTTGGAGTCTCAATCTCAACTTCACCCGCCCCTTCGTCTCTGATGGCATTGGTACAGGATTTCATCGGTCCCGCCAACACCGATCCGCCGTTTTGGCTCTCTAGCCCGGCTATTTGTTGACTGCTAATCCCCACAATTCACTCAGGGACATTAAAAGATATCGCTTTATGCACAGTTGTAGGCCTTTAGGAACAAAAATGACTGTCTAGATGTGCAAAATGTGCGAGTTGGGATCAGTTATTTACTCCGCTCAGAGCGTTATTTGCGAGTACAGACATGTCTGTGACCTTGTGTTTACCAAGCTTCGTCTCCGTCTGGCACCAGTAGTCGCAAACGGGGTCCTAAACAAGTAATTCCAAGAACTTTTATCCAGTGTCAGTCAACTTGTGAAGGTCAAATAGGTACCAGCTTTTTTTTTCTCTGAGCCGTGAGTCACTGGGCTTAATTTAAACTTTAGTCTACAAGTTATGTCTGTGCCACACCAGTCTGTAAGGCGATTTATTATAGGTCTCCAGAGGGGTTAGAACGAGACCATCATAATGACTTTGTAATCAAATGCAAACGCATGTTTTTCTCTTGATTAGTTTTCTCGCCCTCCAAAAGCCCTCCTCGATGCTCTTTATCTACACTCCTTTACTGCATTAGGACCACGTTAGTAGGACTCCCGATTTCAAAAGTAATTGTTTTCGATAGAGCATCCGGTCACGTCCACTTTGTGAACTAATGTTATGCCACACCACCGAGACGGGAGGATGTTATGCAGTGGACGCTTTTCAAACGCCCATCCATTTTTACCATTTGATATGGTTTTAATACTACTTAGCCACCTATTTGGAACCATCTCAACCCCTTGAAACGTGTTTATGATTAGCAAAATTTAAAAGTTTTTTATAAATGAGAGATACACTTCTTTACAGGTCGTTACTCGC